ACCTTGTCCCTGAGTGCCACAGCCAGGCCTTCCTGGGACACCTCCAGGGCTGGGCACTCCAAACCTCCCTGGGCAGCCCCTGCCAGTGCCTGACCACCCTTTCCAGGGAGAAATTCCTCCTCCTGTCCAACCTGAGCCTCCCCTGGCACAGCTGGAGGCCGTTCCCTCTCCTCCTGTCCCTCGTTCCCCGGGAATTGGGGACCTCCTGAAACTTCCTTCCAGGGAATTGTAGGAGCTGGGACAGTGCCAGGATGGCACAGAATCCTTAGGGATGGTTCAGGTTGGAAAAAGCCTTGGAGATCACGGAATCCAAGCATTCCCTGCACTGCCAAGACCACCACGGATTCACGTCCCCAAGGGCCACATCCACAGGGATCTGAGATCCCTTCAGGAATGGTGACTCCAGCCCTGCCCTGGGAAGTTCATTCCAAGGCCTGACAGCCCTTTCCATGCGGGAATTGTTCCCAATATCCCACCTGAGCCTGGAAGGACACTGGAGGACATTCCCTCTCCTCCTGTCCCTTGTTCCCTGGGAATTGGGGAACCCCCCCGGCTTCCCCCTCCTGTCAGGGAGTTGTGGGGCAGGAAAAGGTTCTCCCCCTTGAGCCTCCTGTTTTTCCAGGGAGGTTTTTCAGGGAAACCAGGGATGGGACAGGACAGGGCACAGCCCAAGGACACTCGAGTCTCCCAGTGAGTAATTCCCCACTTTGGGCACTAAGGAAGAAGAACCTCCCATCGGTCCCTCTCCCAACCCAGCTCTGCTCTCCCAGCTCTGCCCCTGGATTTTGGGGTTGGGGTGGGCAGGGGGGGGACCCTCCAGCGCTCGCCCATCGGTGGCAACTCATTTTTTTGGAAGGGCCCAACTGCTCCTGGGTGTCTTTGCTTCCCGGGATTGCACGGAGGGCTCGGGACAGGGTGGGACAGGGCCCGGTTTTCCTGAGCTCCAGCGAGCCCAGGAGACCCTTCCAGCACCCCAGAGCCTCTCTGGGTGGGCACCAGCCGTGCCCAGGGGTGGGGAAGGAGCCTGGGGTATTTTGGGAACTCTGCCAAAGGGAAGGAGGTCCCCAATGTGTCCCCCCCTCCAGCTTTACCCTTGTCCCCTTCGTTGGAGATCTTCCTCAGGTCGATGAAGTGGGTCCCGATGGCCACGTCGTTGACCTTGTCCGAGTCCCGGATCTGGACCTTGATCCTCTTGCACAGGGGGGGGAACATCTCGGTGAACACGATCTGCTCGTTCCACAGGGGCTCGTAGCTGCTCTTCTGGATGGAGGTCTTGCCCTGGGAGCGGGAGGACACGGATCCCGGGGCAGGGTTGGGTGACCCAGGCCACCCCTCGCCACCCGGGCTGCCAGTGCCACCCCTCCACAATGTCCAGGTCCTCCCCCAGGAGAGACACAGCTGCCCTGGGAGCTGCAAACCCACCCCAGAGAGGGGAAATGGGAAAACCAATGGACATCACACACACCCCAACATCTCCAGGACAACCAGGGGACAGCACACAAATCCCAACATCTCCTGGACAACCAGGGGACACCACACACATCCCAACATCTCCTGGACAAACAAGGATAATAAAATGACACCACACACATCCCAACATCTCCAGGACAACCAGGGGACATCACACACATCCAAACATCTCCAGGACAAACAAGGATAACAAAGTGACACCACACACATTCCAACATCTCCAGGAAAAACTAGGGGACATCACACACATCCCAACATCTCCAGGGAAACCAGGGGACACCACACACATCCCAACATCTCCAGGACAAACTAGGGGATATCACACAAATCCCAACATCTCCAGGACAACCAGGGCACACCACACACATCCCAACATCTCCAGGAAAAACTAGGGGACATCACACACATCCCAACATCTCCAGGACAACCAAGGATAACAAAGTGACACCACACACATCCCAACATCTCCAGGAAAACCAGGGCACACCACACACATCCC